GTTTTGAAACCATTTAGAATATCTGAGCTGTTTGCAAATGCTGTATCGGGATTCGGAAAAAGAAACGTGCAAATGCAGTGGAAGAACAACTCTGGATATTGCTCTTTATGATAGCAATAGCGAAAGTGAGAAGGGTGTTAACTTTGAAATTTTTTGTTATGTCTTGCTTCATCTGAACCTCATTTTATTGATGTTTTTTATTCCTATAGTGCAAATATCTTCGTTGATTGTTTCCATTTGCTTTGATTCACTTAACTTTTTCACCCATGGCCTAGCCTTCCCAGATTGAGTATCGTTCTTCTAACTTTTAGTTTTCTTCCTCTTTTTTTATGATTGAAGTTGCTTAGTACTACTACTCCTATTCAATGTAAAGATCTAAAGTTGATTTTGTTCCCCCAATAAAAATGTCTGCGTAGTGTAGTTGATATGTCAACATTGAACTAGTGAGTCGAATAGCGTTATTCTCATCTAGTGAGGCTAAGCAGTATTAACGCTACAGTTGCACAAAATTTTCTCGGCGGGGTAGGATCTCGCTTGAGTTGCAGATCACCGGGTGCGCACTTGGCGTTGACTATTTCGATGCTTAGCCCATTAATAATCATTACTTATAATAACGGGCTAAGGATGTTTACGTGACTTTGTGTGTGTGTGTGTGTGTGTCTGAGAGTGTGTCTGTTACGAAATTCGTAGAGCGTGTTCCAGCCAACCTCCTGGGCTCAAATTTTGCACAGTGCATGCTACCCGCATGAAACTCCAACATGCAAAAGAACGAGCAGATTCGTTGAGTGGATCCCTCAGAAACTGCGTGTCAAACGGATCCACTTTGCGTTTGGGCCGCAAAATTGGGTCCGTAATTCCACTTTTTTCAGAGTCGTGGATGTTTGCGCCAAGTAAATGTGCAAGCCATGAACTTAGGCTTAAAAAAATAATAAAAACTCCATTACTTCACAAAAACGGCGCCAAAAAGTATTGGTTGCGTAAATGGTCAATTTGCCAAGGTTTTACCAGACCATTTGACGAAAATTTTGCACAAAGTTGTAGCTCACGGTGACTGCTGTTCTTATTGTAACTGTAAAGGCCATGAGAAAATCAAGAACCTATAAAAATTTGCATTTGTTTTCTTGCAAAAAGTCTCATCCACGCGAAATCACCGATTTCCCATACAAAAGCTTTCGGAATGAGTAGTTGTTTACATTTTGTTCGTGATAGTCGGCATTGCTCGGTGAGTTCCAATGCCATCATTATACGAGAATGAGTAGGGCCTAGATAGCAGAGCCAGTGCGAGCCTCTGCGAAGCAGAGGTGACGCACTGGTCACTTAATAAATCTCAAAGAATTGACTTTTAGGAACCGTGATTAGATGAAAAGACAATAGACTGAGTAAACAAACAAAATTTGAGCTATTAGGAGTATAACATATTCGTCTTTGAAAACAGTTCCGTTAGAATTAAGGAGGTCCTTAGAAAGAGTTCAACTCTTATGTGCAAATTCAAGGTAGATTTTAACCCTAGCTATCCTAGGGTTAATTCTACCTTGAACGCATAATAGAAAGATGATTGAGGTAAAATTCAACCTCAAGGTAGAATGATGAATACGGGTTTATGCGTTTGAAGGTTAATTTCTACCTCAAGGTAGACTTAACCCATGAGAAAATTTCATTGCGATCATGTTGTGAATACGGGTTATAAACTGAAATGCTAGCTGAGGTAACTTTTAACCTCAAGGGTTCATTGATGAATACGGCCACTGGTGGCAAAGTTTGATGTGCTCAAGCTTAACATCCAGGGCTCGGCACGAGCTGGCATCAGGGAATTTTCAAAACAAAGTCCCCCGTGAAATTTGCCAATTTTTACGAAGTCCTCTTTGACCCCAGACCAAAATCCCTGAAAATCCTCCAAAAAACGAAACGTCGACTAAAGAAAACGTCGCAATTTGTCGACAAAAACGATATCCCCTTTGTTTTTGACCCAAAAACGATACCCAACTTGCCCCGTGCCAGCTGGTGCCAGCCCCTGTTAATAGCGTATACATTCGAATCATTTCATATGGTCATGTGTGTCACTGCACATGTTGTCCACCTTTGGCGTCCTCATCCTGGATTTTAGGAACAGGCAGCACTTCTGCTAACTGTTTCCGATGTTTTCTTCAAAGCTTTTACTCTTTCATAGTTACCAATGTTCACAAAGTGATGTAAGCAATGACAATTTGGTCTCTTGCGTTTTGCGATTGCAATTTTCGGGATGGGGACGCCAAAGGTGGACAGGGAGTGCAGTGACACACAGATTATATGAAATTATTCGACTGTAACATAATTGATACTATGCCAAGATTCAGAAAGTAGTAGTAGAGCGTGGGATATCATCTCTTTACGCTCTGCCAGATCATGCTGGTATCCTTCCCTTATTAGTTTCTTGGTAAAAGATTTTAGACTTCAAGTTTAATGATAACTACTTCTCTTTGCTTCTTTCCGCAAAAGAATATGTTTTCCAAATGCATTGTGTCACTATCTAATGCGCTCCCACCAAAGCGACACAGCACGTGTCCAATGCACTGCGGTTTTCACCGTGACTAGCGAAGCCAGAGAGGGAGTAAAGCGAAGCTGCTGCTGCCTGCCTACCGGGTTTCCCCTTGCGCCAAATAAAATGCTTAAAAACCATTCATTCTTGAAACAGTGCGATGACTCTACTATCTCTTATGCCTTCCTCGTGCTTGCTTAGCGATAGCCTCGAACGTCACAGCGCAGTGCTGCGATCACTGACTGTTACTGCTCATTCTGGAAGCTTTTCCATGTACAATCTTTAATTTTAAACAGATCTTTCTTCAAGTAAAAAGCGCGAATTTGAATTAATCACTGAGCTATTATGGCTTGATAGTCATTATTAAGGCCATTGACCACCTTGCGTACAAGCAGTAGAGCAATATTCTTCTCACCTCTTTAGGTAGAAGCACAAAAATTAGCAATTTACTACACTTTTTTTGGCGCCATTTTGCCAGAAGTGCCTTTTGGACCAAACTTGATTGCCTGAGCATTTTTACAGTGAAGAATTCAATAACTCAAAAAAGGACTACAAACCCAGATTCGTTCTTAGAGTCTTGTAGGTCCGTTTGACATGCAGTTTTTGTAAAATTCACGCATCGGATTCCTTAGGAATTTTGCATGGAGGACGCTTACGCTGATAGGTTATGACCCAAATTCGAGTTCAAAATTTTTGCTGAAGGTGATGGTAAGATTACTGAAAAGTGACAGCTATTCAAATGTGTATGCACCTTGATTATACTTTATATCTGCAATGTTGTCGAACACACGGGCATCGAGCAAGTTTGTGCTTCATCGCCGCTGCCTTTTGCATGCTGATGAGCGCGTAGTTAAACGAGGGACACGATATTGAACTGAATGGTATAACACAGAAAAAAATCTGTTGAAAGTAAAGTCTAGCCCGCCCTAATTTTTGAGTGTATGTCCAAAACCAATTGTTGCAATATTCATAGAGCAAGTTGCAGCCATGGTCCCAATCCACTGTTTTGCACACACGCTCTTCCAGCACGTAGGTCCACCATGTACTCAGATCCCCAGGGGAAGGCGGCCCTGCGATTTTTGGGCAAGCGCGCAACGGAAAAATAGTCCGCTGACTTCTTGCGGTCCGCTTGCAGATTTTCAAAAGAAAGTCCAACGATTTTTGGACAAACGTTCGGAAAACAATCGCGGTTGAGATTAGTTGCAGCGCAATGGCCGTATTCTCGCGAACTTTCTACGAGAATACGTCCAGTGCGGTCCTCCACGGCCACGGTCCTTTCCACGGTCCTTTGTGAAGGACAGCTCGTAGGTACCTTCCGCTGAAAGAAAGTACCCCACTCGGGTAATTAAACCATCGGGAACACCTCTGCCGCATAAAGTCTCAGGTTATCTCGGCGTACGCCCGAAACCGCTTGAAAAGAGTTCGAGTGCCTGCTGAAAGTTTGGCCAGCGTTCGCTGAGAAGTCATTTGACGAGCTCCTGCAGAAAATTCTGTATTGCTGCCCGCTGGCAGAACAGGCGGCAGTAAAGGAAGTACCGCTTACTGAAGGTTTGGCCAGCCCCAAAATTCTGCTGACCGCCTGCAGACCGCCGCCAACCTGACCGCCTTGATCAATAGGGCTTACTTGACATGCTGATCACAAAAATGAGATCCGTTTCGCATGAAAAGGCCTTGTTCGTGAGATCAAAAGATGAATTTTATTTTAGCGGCACAAAAGTAGATCTCATTTTATGTAAACTTTTATTGATGACTTTTACTATCATGGGAGAAGTAAAAGTGACGCACTATTTCCAGAGAATATGCTCTTTCAATTCCGAACGCACCGTGACACGTCACATCAAAGATAAAGGATAGGAATCGGAACCCAAGGCTATTTACTCACTTAATTTGGAATTTGACAGGAAGTTGTAGCTAAGGCACTGCTCCAGCGACAAAGCAATTTGATCATGCACCAATGTTTCAGCGGCAAAGCAGATAAATCATGCACGGCCGAAAACTATATCTAGGGACGAGTTTCATCGCTTGCTTCATGAAGAAATAATCATTACCGTGACAAGTTCCCGCGCAAAAGCATATGAGGCAATGAAAATTGCCCGCTAGAGAAGATCCTGAAGCTTTGGAGGCGAATGAATCATTTGCTCTGCCGCTTCAGTGCCTTTGTTGGGTCCACTCAATAAAATCCACGTCAAAACCTCATGTGCCAGATTGTGATTCAAACACTGCGTTACCGTGTTTGAGTGATTAGTGAGGTTTCTAGGTTTGGTTAACCTAGGTGAATCTAAGTCTGGTTTCTCAAACGCAAACTGTTTCATGTAGCTTACTGTGCAAATCAACGAGCTTTGAGAAAGATAACAAGCTGCGTGCTCAGTAAAATGTAGCTAAAAAGGAAGATCGGATTCGAAGGCTGTAACAGCGGTCAACTTCGCCAGCTAGGAGAACAATCTCTCCACAATACTTTGCATTGCATTGAAACTGCACCACTTACCCACATCACCACTCAGAACATTCCTTTAACAAAAAATGGAACTATCTTGGTAGAGATAGACCAGATTTTGCATTATCATGACTTATGATAACGGGCTAAGGTTGTTTACGTGTTTTTATGTGTCTGTGTGAATGTCTGTCACGAAATTCATAGAGGGAGTTCCAGCAAATGCATTGAGCTGAAAATTTGGTCATAGCACCTTTCCAGCATCTAGGCCCATCATGCGAGATTTTGTGCGGATCCGGTGCGTTCATGCTACAAAAACTGTGCGTCAAACGGATCCACACAGCTTTAGCCCGGCAAAACTGAGTTCAGATTTGGATTTTTTGCAAAGCCATGATTTGCCTGACAAGTAAATCTACGTCCCACAAATTCTGGCACAAAAAATGCTCAAAAAGTTTGTTTTTTCGCGAAAACACCGCGCCGATTTGGCAAGGTTTTCCCTAAAAATGTGAAAAGATTTTTGCACAGAATTGTAGCCCAAAGTGACTATCATCTTTATGTGACTACTAAGGCAAAACAGTTCAGTAATCCATTCGTATTCACAACTGTTCCTTTGCGAAAAAGTTTTCTTCCCCAAATTTACCGATCTTACGTGGAAATGCTTGAAGAATGAACAGTTGTTTACAATTCATTTGTGATGTTTAATATCGTGCGGTGAGTTTTAAAGTCATCTTTATGAGAAAGGCATACGGATAGGAGAGCCAGTGCAAACCTCTGCGAAGCGGAGGTGACGCACTGGTTACAAATATGCCACTTTTAGCAGCCGTACTCGCTGTGCCTGGAAAGGCCGCTACAGAGCCAGTGCAAACCTCTGCGAAGCGGAGGTGACGCACTGGTTACAAATACGCCACTTTTAGCAGCCGTACTCGCTGTGCCTGGAAAGGCCGCTACAGGCTTTTCGGCGAGTAGCACACTTCGATCAGTATACATTAAATAATTAATTCGGTTTCTTTTCCGTGGTCTGGACCATTTTTCCAAAGAAGGATATTGCTTCTTTTCTTGTGCCATATCTGGTCTCAACTTCACAGTAATGAGTGACAACCTTCTGCCACGTGTCAAAAAATTTGACATGTCATTAACATGTTTGGAAGGTTTTACCAAGAGTTTGTTTTCCCCTAGGACTTGCTCAAAATAGATTGCGTTACATTCCATCATCTAAGCGGCACAAGTAGTAGCGAATACTTTAAGCCATCATTCATAGTCTTTTCTGGCTAAATTCGCATGACGGCAGAATTTGAAGAAAGAGACACATTCTTGAATTGTTGTTGAAAGTAATGAACAGTTTCTAACATAAGTTCTATTGTTTTGCTTTAACAGAAAACAGTTGAAGAGATTTTAGGTGATCACAATTGCTTTATTACTTTACTGTAAAATAATTTAGAAAACATGTGAAATTGAGCCAAAACGTGTCAATTTTTTTCCTGACACGTGTCAGGGAGGCAGCCCTCATAGAACCCATGAAAAATTGTCCTTAAAATAATTGGCATATTTTATGGAAGCTTTATGAAAAAATGGGCACGTCTACGTAATACGTCTACTATAGCCATGCTTGGCTGCCGTTGTAGCCATATTTTCATGTAATGTCACAGGTTTCAGGCAGAGTTCACGCGATTTAATTGCTTCGCGATTCTCCCACAAGACAACTGTTACAAGTCTTTTACATGCCGATTAACTTGAATTTCGGTTGTGATAGTTAGTCACGATTGGTCGTGTTGAAAAACTATCAGAACCAAATGCAAATTGATCGGGATGCACTGGACTCGTAGCAGTTGTCTAGAAAGGAAATTACGAGGCGATAAAATTGCGTGAATTCTAAGCGCGTCGAATGTTGTCTTCTACCAGAGCATCAAATCAAAGCTGAAACGCTTGATAAAGCTGCAAACACTTAAGAGAAGCAGTGCTCAATCATCTCGATGATTTTACAACTCAATGATTTCAGAAAACACTATATTCCTAATTTGCAACGACTGTCGCATCGGAAGTCGAAAATCTTATATATAAAGCTGAATGTCTGTTTGTCTGTCTGTCTGTATGTCTGTCTGTATGTCTGTCTGTCTGTCTGTACGTATGTTCCGAATAGAAAATTCCATTTCTGAACCGATCGGGACCAAACTTGGCACACATACACTTCGGGCCCCGGCGGATGTCATAGGCTACTTTTCGTCATCGGATATTGATTTTATCGATTTTTTGCAAAATTTGGCACAGGGGGGTAATCGAGCATGCTGATCACCCCCGTGGGGGTGATCAGCATGCTCGATTACACCCCCCTGCCAAATTCCAGCCCCCTAGCTCAAATTTTGCAAAAAATCGATAAAATCGACATCGATCGATAACGAAAAGTGGACTGTGGCACCCGACGGGGCCCGAAGTGTCTGTGTGCCAAGTTTGGTCCGGATCGGTTAAGAAATGGAATTTTCTATTCGGAACATACGGCGGAGCCGGGTAAGCCAGCTAGTTTATTGTAATCTTCACTTGTTCCTTTGATCGTGCTCTGGTGAGTATTACACAAGTGCTACCGTGTGAGAAAGACGGGATCCACATGAACATGAAATTTCGCATGGGTTTCGCTATTTTATCATTCGAAATTCGGGTTCCCGGCAGTTACTGCCTGGAACGACCTACTTTCTAAAAAAGCTTATGAAGCTTTTAAAAAAGAAAATTTTTTGCGAAAGTGACGTCGAGTTGTGGGGGCCCGGCTCCCATCGCACCTCTGCTGGTGGCCGTCTGGAGACGGAATAATTTTGGAAAAGGTAATACTTCACACAATATAAAGGTTTTTGCATAGTTCCCTTGCAAATAATTTTCCATGTATACAGTTCAATTTTGGTGTCATATGCTTCGGTGTGCGCTGTTAACAAGCAATTAGTTTGTTTTGGCCTTGCTTTCAAATCGCGCGCCATTTTCACTATGCACGATTGAGCATGTCAATCGTGTAACCTGTACGAAAAGCTTGTGTTCGACTAAATCTTTATTCTTGTTGCTTATTCTTGGTGCCTCGGTTCCGATTCGGCAAAAACGATATCTCCTTTGCTTTTTGCTCCAAAAACGAAGTCCAGCCTGCTTCCAGACGATCTGTGCCGAGCCCTGTGCTGAACTCCGGTGCTATCATAATGCCTCTAGTAATATCACATTGAAGAGAGGCTATGCGGATGGTACAAGGCTGCAACTATTGTAAATCATAGCTGATAATCGTATGCTGAAATGAAAGAATCTCTTGACTCAAGAGATTGCTCACATTACCTGACGAACGCACAGGAGTAGCATTTCGTCGATTTCAATTCCCAGTACTTTTGTCCTACTGCATGACGATCAACAAAAGCCAAGAACAGGCATTTAAAAAAGTTGGCATGTTCATGCGAATCCCGTCTTTCTCACACGCTAGCACTTGTGTAACACTTACCAGAGCACGATCAAAGGAACAAGTGAAGATTACAATAAATTCTCGACGTCCGATGCGACAGTCTTTGCAAATCAAGAATATAGTGTTTTCTAAAATTATTGGGTTATAAAATCATCAAGATGATTGAGCACTGCTTCTCCCAAGTGTTTGCAGCTTCATAAATCGTTTTAGTTTTGATTTGATGCTTTGCTGCGTGGTAGAAAACAACATTCGGCATGTGGCGCTCAGAATTCACGCAATTTTATCGCCTCATGATTTTCTCTCTAGACAACTGTTACGAGTCCATTGCATCCCGATCAATTTGCATTTCGGTTATGATAGTTTTCTAACACGACCAGTCGTGACTAACTATCACAACCGAAATTCAAGTTGATCGGCATGCAATAGACTCGTAACAGTTGTCTTGTTGTTAGGGATGAAAACTCAAGCTTTTGGAATGGAACCTTCGAATGCTAGCTCCATGTCTTTACCTCCCCAAGCCGTTGCTCTGACATTAGAGCTATTGTTATCAATATGATCACGCCACGCCATGCTCATTTTTATCGAAAGTTCAAGGCAGAGGCAAACCAGTATTGGAATTAAACAGATTGTCGATAGCACAAAAATCACAATCATCTCACAAACAGAAGGTTTTTTTAATTATTTCAGCCAGAAAAGAGATTTTTACATCCACTTTCCTAAAACAACTGAATTTAACGACAGGAAATCAAAAAGACTTCCGACGATTCAGAGCAGAGAAGTTTCAAGCACAGAAAAGTCTGACGCCAATTATTGGGATTGATTGGATTTACATGAGAAGTCTGCACTTCTCTTTCTTTCCTTTTTCCGCTAACTTCACTTACTATAGAGTGAAGATATTTGGCATTGCATGTTCCGTGTACCAGTAAAGTCTCGAGAATTTTTTTGGCTACTGCCGCACGAAACTACCGCCACCTACCCATTTACATTATATCTCTCCCTGCGAAAAAGTTTGCTAGACGATCGCGCTGTGCTTGCGCTTGCATTTGTCTGACGACTTTGATGAAAACTTCTCGTCACATCGTCACAAGGAGTTGGCTGTCGTACCTTGGTAGTATCCTCTCTAGATCTTTTCGACGGATCACATAACTTGTCAGTATTTCTTTAACTCTTTGCAAAAGAAAATGAGAAACTCAAACGTGTATCTAACTACCGTTTTCATGTGCCTGCACTTACTTACACAAGCAGTTAATACTATCCTTTTCATATGCCTGCACTCACTTACACAAGCAGTTAGTACCATCCTTTTTCATGTTTTCAGGCGTCCCGTGTAGAGGAGCCAGGAAAATCCGTATGAAGCGATTTTTCCGAATACACTTTTAACCACCCGCCGAGCCTTTCAATGACAATAGTCGACTCATTACGATAGCCTTCTAGACTCTACTCACGGGCTGAAGCATCCGCTGAAGTGATATTTTCGAGGACTTCCGAAGGCATCCAGTTGTCGTAGGACCTTTGCATCCAGGACAGATGGGGAACCCCACCTGCCAGCACGTGTATTCAACCATTTCGTGCTCAGAGAGAGAGAGAGAGAGAGAGAGCAGGCAGTGGGAAGCAGCCATGCACCGAGCATCTTTCATTCATTAGTTAATCAA